CATCAACAAATTCGACACATTTTTCGATTTTTCTGCAACAATAGCATTCTTTAGCATTTCAGTGTTGCAGTTTCCACACCTAAATGACAGTAAACTAATTTATACAATATGTAAATATCCGGAGCCAAACATGTCAACATATAACTATAAACAAAATCGCCAAGCATTAATATTCATTATTGACCAAGTTTAGGTGTTGAATATTACAATGACGTTGCAGGTTTATTCCCTTTAAAACGCACCTCTAAATATCTCATCCTTTCATTGTCTTCCTCTCACTTTCGTATTCTTCTAGCCAAGCTTCATCAGCAATCAGTTCATCCAAGAAGCCTTTTCTTCATCTGAATTGCCATCCACATGGCCGCCATGACTGGCTTCAAAATATTCGGTTTCCGAACGCGCTCAACTTCAATTTCACACGGACTACTAACAGACGAATTGCTAAAGACACTCGAGTGTGAATTTGAGCTCGACATTTCAGGTTTTTCACAAAAATATAGTCGTTTTTTTCACTTGCCTACCCAAATTGTAATACAATTTCCTATTGTGAAATTAATACAACGTGTTCGTTGTTCCTCCGACCCAGTCTCCTCTGTGCGCTACTTTTTTTTCAAAATTGGCACTTTGAGCCGTTGTATCTCAGAAACTAGACGTTTAAATCAAAATCTAATCTAGAACTTCTATTGTAACTTTTTACGCTCTATCCGAATCATCAAAAACCCATTTTGGGTTTATAGGCACTTTAAGGGATTCCATTTCTTTTTCCATTGCTTTCACCCATTTTGCCTTTTGTGGACTTGACAAAGCCTCTTTCACGGTCCTTGGCTCGTTTTTATCATGATTTGCAGCTGTTGCCCACTCTCCATAGTAGGCAGGTGGTCTTCGATCTCTTTCTGACCTCCTCGTAACTTGAGGCTCAGGCTCTTCGTTTACAACAGGCTCTTCGACATCAATGGGCTCTTCAAACTCAAGTTCCACAAGTGTGTTTTGCTTTGGCTCTTGTACTTTCACAACTTCAGGTTCTTGTGAAGATTCATTAAACTGGAAATCACGACTATGAAAGACTCTTGCACGATTTGGATCATAAAGACGATAGCCCTTCGTTTCAGTGCCATAACCAAGAAGAATACATTTTCTGGCTTTCGAGTCCAGTTTCTTTCTTTCGTCCTTTGGCACATGAGCATACGCTTCGCATCCAAACACTCGTAGATGCTTCACATTAGGTTTCTGACTTGTCCAGGCTTCAAAAGGAGTCTTTCCTTTGACTGCAACTGAGGGACTTCTGTTTCCAAGATAAACAGCAGTTGAGAGTGTTTCAGCCCAGAACTTGTGCGGGAGTTTAGCATCTGCTAACATGGATCGCACCGATTCCACCAGGGTCCGGTTCATCCTTTCAGCGACTCCATTTTGTTCCGGTGTCTTGGGCACAGTCAATTGGTGTGTTACCCCTTCTTTCTTCAGATAATTCTCAAACTCTGTCGAGGTGTACTCCCCCCCGTTGTCTGTGCGGAAGACTTTAACCTTCCTGCCAGAGGATTTCTCGACTAAGGCTTTCCACTCCAAGAATTTTCCAAAGACTTCATCTTTGTGTTTCAAGACATAAACCCATACATAATGAGTGTGATCATCGATAAATGTCAGAAAGTACTCAGTTCCACTAAGCGATTTTGCACTCATTTTACCACATACATCACTGTGTACCAAATCAAGGGGCATTTTAGCACGTTGACTTTCGTTGACTGGGAATTTACTTCGATGATGCTTTCCCTCTGCACAAGATTCACAGAAATCAATGTCCTTTGATTTGTCATAGTCATAGCCATCAACCAGGTTTTCTTTTGCCAACTTTTGGAAGTTTTGAACACCGAGATGTCCAAATCGCTTGTGCCAGGTGACCTCTTTGCTTCCCATGCTTGAATATCCTACAGTAGGGTTTGCTTGATGACTGTTCGTGCAATTCAGGTAATACAGGTTTCCTACTTTTTTAGCAGTGGCAATCAGCTTTTGACTTTCATCAAGAATGTGACATCCATCTTCATTAAACTTCACAGTCTTTCCAGACTTTGTAGCTTTAGACACGCTCACTAGGTTATACGATAAGCTTGGAACATAAAGAACATCTTGCAGTACACAACTCTTTCCCTCTTGGCCATTTGGAGACTCTATTTTTGTTTTAACGACTCCCCGTCCAGTTGCTTTAACAACATGACCATCTCCATAAGTGACATCTTCAGGCTTTTGCAAGTTATGCAATTCCACAAACTGACTCACATCATTGCACATATGACAAGTTGCTCCAGAATTAATTATCCATGTATTTGTTCTCCCGTTTACAGAACTAAATGCATGATTCACCATCAATCCCACTTCATCACTATCTGAGCTGCTGTCTGTTCGTCTGGATTTGGCTGCAGTGTTAGCTTTATGTTTGTTGTCAATACCCTCATTAAACTCACTTTTGTCCCCATCATGTTTTAGACTATTCAGTTCTCGACAGTTTCGTTTAATGTGTCCAAACTTTCCACAATAGTAACATTTGGGACCCTTGCCTTTAGACTGTCTGTTTGCAAACATAGCTTTCATTTCATCATTAGTCTCAGACCCACTTCTCTCGTTCATTTTTCGTTCTTCGTGCAACAAACGATCGGTCACATTTCTATTTTAGGAACTTCAACATTTGCCTCCAACGCCGTAACCAGTATATCATATGACTCAGGTAAACTTGCTAACAAATGAACAACTCGATCCTCTTCCGTTATAGGGTCATCGATGACCGCTAATCCATCAAATATCTCAGTCATTTTTTTGATGTGTTTCTGAATTCATTCACCGTCTTTTAACCGCAATGAATAGAGTTTACGACGTAGTGCCAACTTATTTGCCCACGTTTTCTTTTGGAATTGATTGGTCAATTTCTCCCAAACCACAGCAGGGTCTTGTGGATCTCCAAGGAGATACAACAACGACGGATCGATCGACAGAACAATGGTTGCCAAGGCACGATCTCTTCTCGCACAAACTTTGCTCATTCTTCGGCTTTATCTGGACTTGGCGACACTTCAGTTTTGGCCACAATTCCCCATACACCATCTCTCATAAGTGCCATTCGACATTGAACTTTCCATGTGGGGAAATTTTTGCCATTTAACGGAATTATACTCGTCGTTTTTACGTCCAAATCTGACGCCATATTTACAATATCAAATATATTTCCAACTTTCGATCACGAAAAACTTTGTTTTACCTCTTTGTTTTGCTTGTTTTGCTTCGTTGTTTACCTCCTACGCATACGTCCCTGGGCCCATAACCTTTTGATAATGATTTAATTTAAAAGAATATACAAACTAATATATATATACTATTTGTTAACAAAGCAATATCAACGAGAGTTCACTGTTCGATGTTTTTCATAAACACGACAACCAACATGGTCTCCAATTAAACACGTGACCACTTAACTAATAAAAATAAACCGGAAGTCCGTAATGTTTATCTTATATAAAGTTTACTAGTGTATACTTTCAACAAACTGTTCCCTACGAAACCAATTGTACGAAGGCTAAACGTCGCAAGAAAGAAAGATACAGACATCTCACATATAAGCTGATCACGACGTGTCATGCATTTGAAGTTATTACACATGAAGTAACCAGTCCAGATTTTGTGTCGAAAAATATTGACAGATTTCGTAGATTATTACGAACACTTGAAATGAACGATGAACGTACTATTAAAAAATAGGTACGCTCAGCGTACATGCATCTGCTCATGGTGATTGCACTCAGAGGGATTGCACTGTTGCCAAAGGCTTCAATCAATACTCAGTAGCTTGTAAAAATTTTAAGGGACTGATGTTTAACAGTTGACCAGTTAAATAAAGTTAGATTTATAGTATGTCAGATGAAAGAAAAATAAAGTGGCTATATATATATTCAACTTGCAGAAACTAATTCCGGCCATAACTTCACAAAAATGATATTCAGTTTTATGATGTTCTTGTTGAATCATCTTAATTTTATAATGATCTTGTAGGGATGGATCCAGCATGATCTGATAGGGGGGGGGGGTACTCGGCCCGCTCTGGTGCCGAGTTGTGTCGGTCATGTGTGCCACCCACCCATCAACTTGCTTCACTATTGCAAAGTCTTGCTTGACTACAGTATTTGAGTTGTTCACAGTTCGCCTATCATCATATTATTACTCAAATTTCTGTATCTCATTTTGTCTCTAATAATTTTTGCTTATCATGAAAAATAGGACACCCCTCCTGCACCCCCTCTGGCCAAGGCTAAGGGGGGGAGGGTGCACACACCCCGCATCCCCCCAGTAAATCCATCCCTGTGTTCTTGTTAAAACATTTCGGGTTCCAAATCTTCTTGATAGTTCATAATAAACTTTAGCAGGCATGCAAGAACGTTGTAGATGCATAGAAGTTGTCAGGATAACAGGTGGTGCCAATATACATTTGCAGAGTTTTGAAAGCCTTTTTATACCATAATTGATACATAACATCAACATTTCTGCTGTTTATAATTGATCTATTTCATTTTAGAAAATGTCATAGTCAGGGTTGATGGCACACAAATCAACTGTTTATGCCTAGTAAATATATCAAATAGGTCATATATTGAAAGTCATTCATCAGCAACAAATGATGACAAATGTGGAAATTAGAAGCATAATCGATGCATATAGTTCTTGAATAGAATGCTATAATTCAACATACTAGATCCATGCAATAATTTTTGTCGTGGAAGAAAATCCAATAAACAGAATATTATGTTAGTTTTGTACATTGTGTGCTATAAATAAGATCCCATTATGACATATGGTTGTTGTTGATTATAAGACAATATAATATGGGATAGGGGAAGGGGGATATAAATTGCTTACTTGGTGTTCTTGGCAATGACATTCAGTTGCAGAAATCAGGGTGGATGAAGAAGGGAGCACCCCCTCCAGGATATATAGTTATATGCTGCAAGTTGATAATTATGACTGGTTGCAACTGTTACTATAAGTATTTATATTCCAATCTAAAACGGAATCTCTGCTCTTTATGCAGCCACTATTACTTTGGCTTTTCTTTAATGAAAGCAATTGTTCAATGCACATACTGCTATAAAGTGCTTTAAGAGAAATGTTTCCAATATGTGTGACTTAGCTTCTGACTCTGCTAAATTTGTATAAAAATGATCTATCAAAGTCTGTAATGAAAGCAGACACCAATTGTCTATAGTTATGATCATTGATAAAGAAATTATGTAACCTTACGAAATTATATAGCCTTCTATTGGTTTCATTCAACTAATTTATATTAATTAAAGTCACCAATGAAAATGCTAAATTGAGAAGTACATAAACATCAACACTTACAACTCGATATACACCTACAACGGCAACATGTGGAAGAATCATTACATTCATAGTTTCATAATAGTATTCTCAATGCCATTAGTCAATAATTTTCTTGTCAAAAATTGCGAATCAGTTCGTTTCCACTGCGTATTAAATGATGAAACCTTTCTAATGCTTGCCAAAAATGCACTATCGACATTTGCCATATTCAGACTAGTAAAATGACGTTGTTTTGACTGCGTTTGATGTATTATTTTAATCGTAAATTCACAATTTCCCTTTGTTTCACCCTTCAGTAAACCGCCATTTTGAAATTAGTATAATTACGTCATTTATGCTGTCGTTGATTGGCTATGAGCACGCTTACAGACTTCCGGTACGCGCACGATAGCAATATATCTGCATTCGCAGATACAAAAATGGCTGGCGTTTTCAGTAGAATTTTATTAAAATGATTTATATTAAAATTAACGATTTTGCATGTGACCTGCGCACTCATGTATAATTTTTCTATTTATATTATTAATAATTATTATAGAAAGTATAGTGCTTTATAGAGATTTCGAGCACTAATAAAAGTGATAATCTCACATGTGAGATTATTCATGAATCATGATAATCTCACATGTGAAAATTATCGCTTTTCCATTACCGCTTTTCTGTAAAAATTATCGCTTTTTAAAGACTGTCCTTAAAATAATAAACAGAAAAATACATGGGTGCTTGGAAATACCAGATTTATTTCTCGTGTTGAACGCGATATCTCACTCGTTCGCTGCGCTCACTCGTGAAATATCATGTTCAACACTCGAACTAAATCTGGTATTTCCGCGCACCCATGCATTATTCTCTATGTAATAGTATGGTTTCTCGTGCAATTTCGAAAAACATACACTCGTGAATTTTTCACGCGTGTATATTTGGTCGTCTTTGAAAAACTGAATCGTCCATGTTTTCCCAAATTGCACTCGAAACCCTACTATTACCTATACAAATAGACAAATGTCGTTAAATCTAACCTCTGTACAAACATTGATATCGTACAGAGAGCGATGCAAGTTGCAAAGAATCTACTTTATTCTCAGATCTTGCGTCTAACAATGTCGCGTTTTATAATTCACTGTTTACAGTTGAACTCATGTTTCAACGTGGTATGCAAATTGTGATGAAAGTGGAATAAACCTTGTCTGATATGTCCGTGATTTCTGGCCATGACCGTCCTCAGAATCTGCTAAAAATTTATGTTCGAATTAGGGGGAAGAAAAATTGAATTGCTTACCTACAAAAACAACTTAACTTCGGTTGTATATTTTTCTAATAGGAATCGTAATGGCTAGCAGAGACAACAAGAAACATAAGCAGCGGTCGCGAAACCGTGACCCAGATTCTGACTTCTCCCGAAAACTTACTTACGTGTTACGTCACAACGCTGTTGGACTGGGGATGAATGTGGACCACGAGGGATATGTCAACATCGCAGAAATCCAAACTCACCAACTTTTTCAGCGGTTTCGACCAGTTACCAAGGAAAAACTTCAACACGTCATTGATATTGACGAAAAGCAGCGTTTTTCGATGCTCCAGCGTGCTGATGAATGGTTTATTCGCGCCAATCAGGGTCACAGTGGCGATGTGGCAGCCCAACTTGTTGATGAAAAAATGTTGACGCCAGTGTTAAGTTCAAAGGACCATCCCATTTGTGTTCACGGAACGGATACGGGTGCGTGGACTAAAATTACTGCTTCAGGCGGGCTCTCAAGGATGGGTCGCAAGCATATCCACATGAGTTCCCAACACAAAGGTTCGAAGGAAATGATTAGTGGTATGCGTAAGAGGTCCAATGTCATGATATATATTGATTTTGATAAGGCAATCGCTGCGGGTATTAAATTTTACATTTCCAAGAACCAAGTTATCCTGTCGGAAGGTAACGATCAAGGGATGATACCAGTTGAGTTCTTTAAAGAGGTCAAATTCCTGGACTAAACTAGCTGTAGTGAGTAATATGCTATTTGTATCGGTAATGTTAGGCCATATAAAATAAATTCCTTGATTTTCATCACCGCCCGACGATATTTTGGTTTCCGCGTTGATATATTTTTGTATTTTGTTATAAAATATAAATTTACCGCCCGACCGAGCATCTTCAGAGATTTAGATATTTTTATATTTTATATTGGAATTTTTGCGATATAAAATTGTTTTATCGTTAATATTGCAACATGTTAAGGGATGCTTGGAATACTGAAGGAAAAATGGGCTTATAGCCTTATTACAACGATTTGTGTGGACCCTTATGCATGTTCATTAGCGCATGTGCAATTATCCACTTATATAGCGTTCTTCTACAATATATTTAAGGGCAAATATAAAAAGACCTCCCTCTCCAATTTTTTAAATTTTGAACTTTTTTTTTATATTTTGACATAAAATATAAAATATAAACCTCCCGCCTCCTGGGAGTTTTTAAAATTTAGTGATGAGAATCAAGAAATTTATTTTATATGGCCTTATAGATTCGAGCGGGGCCACTCGGTTGGGCGGGGTGAGTACGAAGTGGGAAAATTTTCCTGGGGCCCTAATTAGAGCGAGAGGGCATTAAATATAAAGAATTTGTAGAGGATGGCCATCAAATGCACGAATTGGTAGAAAAATGTGGAATGTGTGAAATTTCGGAAATATTTTTCCATATTTTTTCCCAAGAATTACGCCCAAAATTTGAAATTTACCTTGCCTCCCAAATTTTTCTCGGAGGTCCTGTGTTCGATTGCAGTTTGGAAAAGCATGTGCGAGTGAGTGTCTCAAAGATGATCAAGGACGAGTACAATTTGAAGTCTTTGAAAAACTCACTAGTGTTTGTTTGTCCCAATTGCATGGACGAGAAACCATAATATATATATATATATATATATATATATATATATATATATATATATATATATATATATATATATATATATATATATATATATATATATAAAAATTATTTTACCGTCACTTATAAACAGATGCAAATAAATAATTTACTCACTTCATTCGATTAACTCCCCAATCTATTACAATAAAACATCTACAGTACGCGTGTGGACTCGTCGAAAAGCGTCTTTCTGTAACAGTGTTATAAACACGGGAAATTTCCCGTTTCGAAGCTATGATTTTGAAACGTAAACAAAACAATATTAACACCTGCTGTATACTCTAAGAAAATGTGTGATATACCGATTAAAATAACGTGAAATAACATTGAAAAATTGCCCTTTTGGCTCGTTTTCTCTCTGATTATTTTTCGTTCTCCCAACGTCTCATGTGCATGTGTTTCTATAACTGTATAGCAACACGAAGAACGTTTTCGTATGTATAGAAATAGTGAAGCAGAAGATTATTAGAAAAATCTACCCAGTGTATATTAGCTTTTATAAACGAAGTGAACAGTCATTATTAACTTTTTAATGCAAATTCCTTTTAGTAATGCTTTCAAAACAAAACCGAGAGGAAGCGTGTCATTTTCCTAAAATTGTTGCGAGCTTTGGCGTGCCATTTAAATAAATTGAATGTGCATTTATCTTGCACATAATTTTTTCATCGGTGTCAAGGCTGCATGGCAGTAATCAATGTAGTCTACACTAATTAAAGGCTTTTCTGGGCGCCTGTGTTAGGAACTGCATTTGGAGTCGACGCTCGTACCGCGCTCGGTCGGAAAATGAGTGTTAATTAAGTGAACCAAGAGAGTATTTTTTTACGAATCATCTCAAACTTACATTGTACAGTGTATGAAATCATGCGTGAAATCTCAGGAAAAATTGCGTAGTGAGTAGGGAGAAAATTGTTTCGCTTTTCTAGTTGGCTTAATTTTTAATGCGAAACGAGTTTTCTGATAAGTAAATCTATATATAATGGAGAACTCAGTATCTATTTATATAACAAAGAGATATTCTTCTCTTTTAAGTAATATCACTCCCTTCGCAAGGCCAGTGCTTTTTCAGCGCGTAACCGTCAATATTCATCGACTTTAATTGCAATATTTCTATCATTGTCAGGTGCAGTTTTTAATTGTAAAGTTCATACTGCAGGCTGAAGACAATAAATCCATTAACAGGTTTCTATTTATAGGCATAAATCGAATATCAACGTGCAATTAAAACCATGCAAGCATATTTAATGGAGGGATTGACGTCTTTTCACGCTTTAAAATGCAACATGGAGAGAAAATTTATATTTTAATCGTCTTTTTTCAGCGACGCACTGCACCAGATTATTGAATCGTGAATATAATTTAACATCAGGAACAAAGAACACCGCGGATGTACAAAACAACAAGTAACACGGAACTACAGTATATGATTCTGTCATTTTAAGTTTTTTTTAAAAAGTGCAGTTTTTGCTTTCGATTTTTGTTCACAATTTGGCTGTCTTGACCATCTGTGTTTGGATATTCGCATGTCAGTTTTTCCGTTTGTAATTTTGAACGAATCACAATGAACCAAATTCTCGTGTTAGCATACGCGCGCGGTTATCAGAAACACCTTAAATTCTCAGTGTCACGAGTAAAAATATGTATTCTTCTTGTCAACAAAAGGATACAATTGAGAAACAAATTTAAACTCTGGTAACAAATTGAAAAGAAAAGCATACGTAACTGTCTTTTTGTCATGTTAGCGTACTAGATTTAGCCCATCTTCATGAATGTCTTGTGAAACGTCTTAATGAGAACATTCGTATTCTTCAACACTTTAACATAAATTAATGATATTGCGTCAGAAAATTTAACGGGACGATTATCTAAATCGACATAATTCTGCGTCAGATATACAAACTCCTTCAAAAACATAATTTCTTTAGCGTTTTCATCACGAATTATTAACAGTGTTTAAATAGAAATATCTGCGGTCATATAAAGTGTTACAAAAATTTGCATTTAAGATTGTGATTGACATATTCTAATACGTAGAGAAGGGAAAATCTCAGCGTAATGCCGTTGACACTACCCCTGGAAATATTTCGTTTTATTACTGTAGTTTCGTTTAATCCAATTGGGGGCAGCGATAACGCACTAACACAGTACACTAATTAATTAGTATGCAAGAAATTAATTTGTGTTCGACTTTTGATACCTGGCACTCATTTATTCAGTTGGTCATGTTTGACAGTGGTGGCCTTACGAGTGACGGGCGATTATGCGTGGTTATAGAACACCAAAAAGGTTAATATACCCTCGCTATTTCAAGATAAACCACGACGTATAAAACCATGCATTATAAACGGCTCTTCGACATGCACCGCCTAAGTTAGAAAATCAATTTCGAATTTCTAACCTTGCAATTTTATTTTTTTTAATACTCTGTGTCTTTAATGTTATCACATGCAACCCGTTTAGCGTCTTGCACTACAAGAATGTGTACATGACATGATGTGGTGGTAAAGTGTGCAAGGTTTTCTGGGTTCGAGTATACCACCTTCACGGCATGTAAAGCATTCTGGTTAATACTTTTCTTGGGTAACCTATTTAACGTTTTATATTTTATATTAAATATTTGACTTATTTTAATATTCATGCAAGTATGACCCGCTCAAATATAACCAGAATCCTGGTTACATTAAATTAACCAGACTGTAGTATGTAGGCCTATAGGGAGTGGATAAAAATAGCAAAATTGACCAGGAATGTTTTATTCTCAGAGTGTTTTAGAGTTAACCAGAGTTTCTTCGAGTGTTGGTAAATCATTATATACTGTAAAAACCTGCATCATTGTTAATGATAAACGAAAAATTAAATTATCACTACTTTTGGAACTGAACTCAGAAAATCACTTTGTCAACGTGAAGTTACAGAAGATATATTTTCGAATCTTAATTATATCTGTATATCTGTATATCTGTATATATGTATATATGTATATACAGGGCGAAAAAACAGATTTGCACTAGGCTTTGCAACCCGGTGCAAAGGTGCCATTGCCGTAATCGCATCAAATTTGGAAGGTTGCAAATATTTTGGCAAATTTAGAAACCAAATTATGGACGAAAATACCCACAAATTCACTTGTGCAAATGAAAGGTAATTTGAGCCAAATTTATCCTATACCCATTCCCTCTCAAAAAAGAGAATTGTATTTACCAATATGAGGGTAAAAATTTATTTACCAATTTGCTTTCCAAATTTGAACAAAATTTGCACAATAGCAAATTTGATGCGATTACGGCAATGGCACCTTTGCAGGGGGTTGCAAAGTTGGAGCAAATCTATTTTTTCGTCCTGTATATATATATGTATATATATATATATACAGCTAATTCAATAAAGGTTGTCCTTTGCAAACCTTAAACTCTAAAACCATAAAATCTTAAACTCTAAGCGCGCAAAGCGTAATGGGAGCACTATTTAAGCAATTTAGAAAGCATACCTGGAGCCCATTTCTTAGAGACATGGTAAATATGTGCCTGCGAAAACATTTCACTCTCAAACAGCTGCAATATTCAACTATAAAGCTTGAAATCAGTACTCCCATTATGCTTTGCGCGCTTAGAGTTTAAGGTTTAAGGTTTAGAGTTTAAGCTTTGCAAAGGACAACCTTTTTTGAATTAGCTGTATATATATATATATAGATTGTCTATATCTTAAAATTAAATATCGCTACTCTGAGTTTCACGTCCGTTCTAGACGATCATCAGGCGATTTTGTTCACGATTTTGTTATTGATTACGTGATTGCATCATCATCAACCGTTCGCTGACGCGTTAAATTGTTTGTTCGCGCGCGTTCGAATTTCCCGGCGCTGAATTTTTCTCGATGGCGACATCTCGCGAAGAACTCGGATCTTTTGTTCAACAGATTGGTTTTCTGTAATTTCATGATTTCTAATTTCTCTTGTATGCACAAATTACAAATACTTTCCAAATACGTATGGGATTTGAAGGACAAGAAAAGGGAATACAGTATTAAGTGGTCCAGTTTGAAACGAGCAGCAGCGTATGTACCTGGCGGTAGGCGTTGTAATTTGTGCATAGAAGAGAAATTAGAAATCATGAAATCACATAAAACCAATCTGTTGAACAAAAGATCCGAGTTCTTCGCGAAATGTCGCCTTCGAGAAAAATTCAGCGCCGGGAAATTCGAACGCGGGAACAAACAAGTTAACGCGTCAGCGAACGGTTGATGATGATGCAATCACGTAATCAATAACAAAATCGTGAACAAAATCGCCTGATGATCGTCTAAAAAGGATGTGAAACTCAGAGTAGCGATATTTAATTTCAAGATATAGACAATCTAATAAGCTCTGCTATACTTTTAGTATTGAGCACTTTGTATATCTAGACAACCAAAATAAATTGAATTATATATTATATAATAATTCTAATATATATATATATATATATATATATATATATATATATATATATATATATATATATATATATATATATATATATATATATATATATATATATATATATATATATATATATATATATATATATATATATATATATATATATATATATATATATATATATATATATATATATATATATATATATATACACATTAAGCTTTTGGCAATATCTAATCCAATTGTCGTCCAAATTAACCCGAATTTAAATAAATTTGTCCATATTCAATAGCCACTAGTATGGTCAATGAGCATTGTACTGATTCTAAATACTGGCATTTTTAAGTTTATTTATATGTACTGATTTAATTATTGTACTGATTCTGCAGAAGGACAAACTCACACAAAGACGCACACAAGCGCGAACAACGAAAACATCACTTTCTGACGAAGATAAAAGTATACTACTGTAGAAGCTACCACGGATTTGCATAACAGGTTATAAGACCATTTGTGGATATAAAGGGGCAATGTTGCGATGGTATCCTTGGTTATCAGGACAAAACAGAAGAAAGGAAATGGTCTTAATACAACACAATTTTCAAATATTTTTGTTTAAAGCGCTATTTTTTTATTAAGAGTTACAAGTTTACATGATCTACTGCCTAGAGCTCATCGCTTAATTAATTGTACATATTTAGATAATTCTTGTATACTTTTAGTTAAGACATGTTTAGTTTGCGTCCATAATCGTTTCAGTTTAGATTTTGACTAAAATTTCTGGCTGTTTGATCGCCATCTGATTCCTTTGTTTCAAAGTCATCTTCGTTTATATTACAAGTACATGCCAACCCTTCACTGTTTTCATTCTCATCAGGTGAGAGACAAAGTCAATAGTATAAACTCCAAAGTTTTCTCTGGGCTATCTGGTTAAAATTAATTTTGTTATTATGTTTTTGTGTGGTTAGAGTTGGTGCTGGAAGTGGTAGTTTCGCTTTCTTTATATTCGTTGCCATTCACATCAACGCTGTGGGTCTCACCGATATGCAAATTATTCATCGCTCCTCGGTTGTATCCGTTGAGATGACTCTCACGATGATCAGACAAAAATGGAATAACTCGATTTACGCCAAACCTTCGCAACATATTTTCGACACCACGTCTCACCTCTTTCGTACGAAGAACGAAAATATATGGATTGATACAGGAATGTATTTGGATCAACGTGTTCATCCATATTACATTAACGACATACGCCGCGTGATCTCCTCCGAACCAGTGATATTGCAAACGGTATAATGTCGAAGGTAGCCAGGAAAATACATAGATTGCTAACATAAGACCAATAGTCTTGGCCGCTTTGTTTGGACTTGAAATAGTTCGCAATACTTCTCTGCTATTTTCACCGCGAGGGTTATGCTCTAACACACGATTGACCAACTGGATTCTTTTGTTGTGTCTTTGTGCCAAGTTAAAAATCATGACTTGTAAACCAATGGTTAGTAGAAAGAGAACTACCATAATTGCAACAAAGACATCATTGAAGTTAGGATATGCAGAAACTACCCGAAAAACACCAGCAAAGACGCAGAAGAGCCATATGAACGCAATCGTTTGGATTGTTTTGGTCTGCGATATGTGAGAAGCATAGAAAAAAGGATAGCTGATGAACATGTACTTATCCAGTGTAGCAAAGAAGAGACTCGAAACACCCGTGAGGAGGAAGGTAAATGAACAGAAATGAAGGAATTTCATACCAGCCACCGTTCGCGTTGATGACGGGAATCGGTAGTAAGCCACTTGCGGTTGGAAAAGGAAATTGTAAAGAACTTCGGACAGAAACAAGCTTAACATGTAAAGATAAGTCTTTTGGGTGATTTGAACGTACTTAATTAAAACAATCATAAGTATAAGGTTGCTAAAGCCTCCAAACAGACTGAATGTGCCGCTTACGATTGTAAATGGTATAGCAGTTTCTAAAGACCTCGTAGACCCATGGCCATTGGAATGACTTCCATATGAGGTTCCTGTGGAGTTGTTCTCGAGCAGTTGCATGTTTGGGACGATTATTTGTTTCTGCTTATACCTCTAGGGTTTAATCTCTTGAAATATTTTCGTTCGGTCTTGTTTCCGTCTGGCCGACGATGTGCTTGTTGCACGGTCAGGTTGTCAATGGGAGAATAATAAGGTGTTCTTCATTTTAAATAAGCGTTTCGATATTATGCGTCTGTGCAAAGCAAGTGCAATTTGTCTATAATTGTGGTTGCATTGTGTCGATGCCCATTACAGGGCAGATGCGCATTTATATTGTACTTTCTTCAAAAGCAGATATTACGAAGACATATGCATTTACCCTTTAAGTGCGTTGAAAAAACAGCATCTGACATAAAGAGGTCGTATATCATATATTGTTGCAAGTTGCAGCAATTTTGTTGCTCGTACAACTCCAGCTTAACAGATTAATGAGCTACAAATGGAGTCAGAAATTCGCAATATTAATTTGATAGCGTTCGTAACAAATGCTTTGATTTTATATTCGCCGACGGCCTGACTGACAGCCATTGAGTATGAGCAGTATACGTGAGAGTAAAACTATATAGAATCTTCATAAGGAATAACATGTACTAACTGAATCGGCCTGCTTTAATTTTGAGAACAATTATTAACGGATGTATAAAATTAATGATTTGGCCATATTGCTCTATTTTTGCTTTAGCCACAGTGGTGTACTGGAAAGGTGGAATTCAGGAGGGGGGGGGGGGGGCGGGGGGGGGGGGGGCAATTACCCCCCCCG